TAAAAGCCCTTGTTACGACCTAATCTATTTGTCGAAGTGCAGATATCCCAATTAGAAGTGGGTAAATTATTTTTAGCAAATGATTCATCAGACAAGTTTAGGTCTCCTTTCTGTTTGTTAATGAGCCAGCAGGAATAAGTGAACTTCCAGCTTTCTCCACCACTCCCAGCGGGTCAACGAATATTTAGGATAGACGCCTGCAACCTGTCCGCTGGCCCTGGGACAGGCTCCGCGGTCGAGGCCACCCCCTAAACCCAACAGGTGCCACTGAAATACAATTAAAAGGCTATTTTGAAGGTTTCAGTGGGAATTAAGCAGCGCACAGGCCTGGCAGTGGCCGGCTGCACTGGGAAGCTCCTCGGACACAGTCTGAAGGGCCACCAATGTCTCACGGTGCCATCTCGGTTTCCTGATTGACCGGCCTAAACATTACGGACAAAACAAGTCCTATTTTCTGGACTGTGACATTTATAACTGCTCGCTGCTTTTCCATGAAAAGTGCCGATCCTCAAAAGGCTGCGAGAACCCCGCCAGTGCAAACGTTCTCGTGCCTGTACTTACGTTTGATTCCTTTCCCCAACTCACTGACTGAGTGGTCACGACCAAAAGAGGCACCCTAGCATGCCAACAAAGTTGATGGGTTTCATTTACAAAAACGTTTCTACGCTTCCTTCACAGAGCACCACGATAAACAGGTGATCTCAGGCACAGCCAGAAAGTGGGCAGGGTGTTACCCAAATTAATTCGACTTTCTTTCTGAAAAACAGAATAAAGCTTTTCAATCCTATCTGAAAGGAACTGCCATCTTTTGAAACAACAAGCTGTACAGACAAGGAGCAGGAATTTCATGGAATGTCAGAAGTCGAAGAAACATATGGATTTAATAAATAATATAAAACGTTTTGACTTTTTCTTTTTGTTAAAATAGAATTCTTGGTTTTATACCTACATAGCTTAGCAACCTTTACATTAAACAAAATAAAGCTGAGTCTGTGATGATTAGTTTAACACAAAGTAAAAATAGAATTTAACAATAGTATTAAAACAGGCAATGTTCAATCAAAAGATCATTCATATAAATATGTACATCGTGGATATAAATCAACAAGAAACAAAATTAAATCATTTTGAATTTGAGCAGACATTTGGATATACATATTTTTTCTATATATCTTAGATTTCCCCCTCCCCCATTTTGTGCAATACTAAAAATTAATACTATACCTTTTCAAAATAACATTTTTTTTAGTTTGTAGAACTATTGACTCATTTCCTATATTAATCAGCACAATTCAAACTCTTTACTTTCCACTGTACAGTTGAAAATAATCCTTCCCCCATATGCATTCAGAACGCGGATATTTCACATAAAGGCAACTTATCAAAATCTGGCTGTGTGGGAAAACCAAATCAGGTTTTGTATCTGTCTGCAGGATTTTAAACGTAGCAGAATTACATGCTAGGACTTAGTGTGAGCAGAAGAAAAGAAAACAGCAATGCACAGAGAGCTCCGGGTATGTCTCCCTCCATGAATGACTCACTAACACTTCAGGTCCCATCCCTTAAAAATGCAAGTATGTGAATCACTTTATGCAGCACAGGGTTTGGCCCAGCCCTGATTTCAATCAGTAGCACAGCTTCCATGGAATCAAGGCTCGAGAGTAGTGCCAATGCTCATGTGGCTATGCGCTTAGAGGGTCTTGGTGCATATGAACAGATTTCTTTGTTTTGGTGCAAAATGCACTGGGTTTCCAATGTACAGGACTGTGCCAATAGCTGCATTTATTTAAAAAAAAATGCACTGGCAAGTGGAAAATACCTTGTTATTTTATTTTTCCTTCCAGAAAAATGGAAGAAGAGAAGAGAGGCTGCCGTCATATTTCACTAGTGGAGAGCCACCGAAGGTAGAGGAAACTTGATGCTGACTAGACTGAGCTCTGTTTCTTGAGCCCAGTGCTGGGGGCAGGTCCATGTACAAGAACAGCCTGGTATACCCATGCATTCATCCAACTAACTCTCGCAAACGGCAAACCTTGTGTGCAAAGGTTTAGAGCCCGAGTGAATACCCACAGGCTTCTGAGAGCGTTGGATCCAGCGCCCAGCGAACATAAAGGGATTCAAATAGTTTTCGAGATTAGCTCCCTTGTCAGACAGTATTATTAGAAGTAGTTTATTAGACTGTAGCCTTGGACCTACCTGCACTAGCACAATAATGAAATGACAGTCGAGCACCATTTCTGTAAAGAAGGATTCAAATGAAAACAATTAGCTGCAGGGATGACCTACATCAGGGCACAGGAATGAAAACACCGTTAAAGTTCTTCCGATGGTCTCACAAGTTTGAACTCAAGTACTTAACAGATTTGCATAATAAAATGCCCTTCATTTATAGTGTTGGCACCATAAGGCCTTGTTAGAGGGTGCCCACTGAAATACTGCTCAGCTCCTAGTGAATGCCAACCGGGCACTGCCCCCTTTGCACAGTTACGCTTTTCCTTTCTGCACGAATGATGGATGCTGCGCTTGAACAGCATTCTGGTTCTGATTCAGGACCCCTCCCCTGCTAAGGAAGGCCTATAAAGCATGTGGTTACATCCCACCAACCTAACCAAATGCTTTAACTGCTGTCCTGAATCAGGACTTCAGCTCACAACAGTCAATAGGAAGGACTGACGCATCCTTCACAGTGCCAAATGGACTGACTAAAGAATACAGGATTGAGCTACAGGTCGTCTAAAGGTAATTAGGGAAGATCTCTAGGTCTCCATGGGTCTGTATCCTTTGAAACTTGCACGCTGGCTAGGCATTAATCATGTGACCAGCTCTGATCACACTACTCGTGCTTAATTCAATTTGCGAACGTGGAAGTTTACCACCTCGTATGTCAGAATGAATTATGGAGAATTGTTGCAAAGTCTTCCCAGTGTGGGGCCTGTATATAATCAGGATGGGACCTGACACTGTGCAGACTGCATTTCTGTGCTTTACAAGAAAAACGAAACCATTAGCTTGTGAATGCTTACAACAAAAATCTACCCTAGAGATAATAAAAAAATATATATACATCAAGCTTTGCAGATAAACAACATAAAAAGCTGTGCTTAATATTTAATTTAGTTTTCTTAGTGAAAGCAGCTTTTATTTTTTGTTCCCTGAATTTTTTTTTCAAAACTTGCTGAGTGTACAAAGGTGATAAAAGTGTGTGAAACACCATGCCAAGTCTTATTGTACATTTTCAAAGTTAGCAAGGTTTTCTTCATGCATTTTATAGACTCCATGAAAAAACAGCAATTCCATGAACATTGCTTGTCCCATGAAGACGTTGTATCTTGAATTTGGTATCTGAAATTGCAGTTAAATGTGATGCCTGATCTCTGGTTTGGGAACTGTAGGATTTAAAGTCTCTCTCTGCAGCTGAAAATTCAGTTTGAAGCTTTTGGCATCTCACTGTCATTTGTGAGTAACACCACGAACAGAAGGAAGTGTGGGATAACCGTTCTTTCCTTTAGCCTGATGGGTGCAAAGGCAAACCTTCAGTAACTCATATTACTATTCCCAGGAAAAAGTCAAAATAAGAAGTGTTACACTTATATTAAAACTTGATTCCTATCAGCAATTAGGAAAGGGAGTGTCATGAGCATTAGACAACAGTAGATTTTAGCTGCCATTTTAAAAATCTAAATCCAGATCTTTCAAATAATAGCTTACAAAACTGAGGTGATCACGTACAAAACTACACACGTGCTCAAGTGTCAGCCCAACTCCATTTTATAATGTCAGTTTAGATTCAAGATATTTCCGCAAGCAATTACAAAACCTTGACTCATAGAAATCAAGGTTTTTGAGGCACAGCTTTTTACCTGCAAATATACCTTCCTTGTATGTACAAAAACCTTCATTCTAGAATTTATTATGAAATAGATTCATAGAGCCACAAATATTCCCACAGGATTTTTTTGGCAAAAAAATTCAGCTACGGAAAATAGTTCGAGACAGCAAATGGAACAGATCTTGAACTAAAAAAAATATGAATGGAGTACCAGGCCATCTGAGGACTGCAAGAGTGGTTTTACCATCATTTGAGCTTTCCTTTCATTCAAAACATAAAACAAAAAGCATAAGCACATTATATGGCATTCTTGCAAAAGCTTAAGAAAAACCAACGTACAGTAGGTGCCATCATAAATTAAACAACTGCCTCTCCACAGCGAGAAGGAATCTGCTTTTCTGAGTTTAGGACGATAACACAATTGCGGCTCACAGAAATACACCTGGACTCTGAACATTACTAATCAGTAGATGACAACAGAATGTGGTGCTTATTTTAAAAGGTAATGCAAGAAAAATAACTTGTAATATCCTTTAAAGAAAATATTGGCTGCCAGGCACACGGCCTCTCTCAAAACTTGAGTCCCTTCTCACACCAAACCAAGGTAGAAGTATCAAATGGTTTGCACTGTCGTCAAAGCCCATGCCATAGCAGACAGCTAAGCCATTCCCACTTTTTGTAGGGAAGACATCCAATTTACAAATATGCTCAGGAGAAACAGAGGAATCTTTTTAATTTTAAAAAGACAGCTACTTTAATCTGGAAAAAAAAAAAACCCAGTACTGAAGCTCTGTGACTGACTAACAAATTGGAAATACACTTGGTCAGAAGAGATGAGCAAAACAGACTGTTGGCAGAAATCCTATTTACACAGATGCAATTCCCACTGACTTTTCTGAGTGTTGCAGTCCACAGTAAAATACTGTGCAATACAGAATTAGCTCTAAGCTCCCATTCAGCTCTGAAATACGCACCTCCTGCAAACCCATTATAATCAATGAGATTCACAGCATGCATAACAGGGCAGAAATTGGCCTGAAATGTTTGAAGCTAACAGTTAAACATTACACTTTGTCTTACATGACATATCAGTTTCCATGTGACACACGAATGGCAAACTAAGGAGAATTGACATAAAACCGGCATGTATCAGCTCACCTCTCGTCAGCTCCATCCTCAACATTCTCAGGCTGTTTTCAATGTGAATGTTTTGAATTCCCTGCAGAGGGAAATTAGACCGTTTTTGTGCAGCCAAGCCACCCAACATGCACATGAATCTTCTGAACTTGGCTAAAATGAAGGTCTGCAATAACTATGCTATGAGAACGCACTGTTTACATGGTGTGTGCGCGCGTGCGTGTGTGTGTGTAAAAGAAGGATACACAAGTTCAGTAACTGAAGAGTGACCCAGAAGAATACGTACCAAGGCCCTCATATATTTTACCCTAGAACATGCACTAATATGCACTGAATCGGAATATTCTTTTTTTTAAAAAGTGCAATTCACCTGAAATGGAAAAGAACCGTCTTTGTATTCACTGTAAACTTGTCAAAAGGAATCTGCTCTTTAAAAACTGTGCTGAAATAGTCAATATATACAACAGAGCACTAGATGAAGCTACCTCTTCACCAATTATTACTCTATTGTGTCAGTTATAGTACTGCATATACGTAGAAGAAGCAAAATGGTGGTAGCTACTATTCGTGAGTACAACAAACCAAGTGAATAATCTGGGTTCAACATTTCCATGAAGTTATAACAACATTTAAACCACAGGACAGTTAGAATTCAGTACTTGGAAGTGCGTAAGAGTCACACTGTTGATCACCAGCAGTATGGAGCAAGGTTATATTAAAGTCAGCAGTGATGGTTGGAAAGAACACGGCAATACATAAGATTACATGTTATCCAACACAGCAAGTCTGCAGTTCCTTCCAATGTCTGGGGATATGTCAACAGTGACATAAAAATGTAAATGATAACAAGTAGCAACCATTTTAGTTTCCAGGTCTGGTATATACCAAAACCAGGGTATTGCAAAGAAAACAGTGTCTTCCTTCCGTCTAGGAGGTTCTAGGATAATACACCACTTTCAACACCGCCAGGGTGCAATAATGCATAGGGATGAGAAGCAGGCTCTACAACTGACAACTGTTATGAGGGCACATTCACCTTGTCATTGCTTCAGCTTCATAAGCTCCATGAAAAAGAGTCCTGACATCATCCCATGCTGTAAACATCCCAGTCTTCTAGGTACATCCTGCTTCAGGAATTGTACAGAGGAACCAAAAATGACACCGTAGACCTCACACACAGGGACAGAGTAAATTTCCTTAAGTGAACGCTGTTCTCTTCTCCCTTCTACAGACCGTTGCTATTCCTGTGGCTGAGTGGTGGTTTGGACAGCTCTACCACGGTGGAACGAGATTTATTGAGAAACTTTGGAGCCCGACGTAGCAGCCTTTGTGCCTCAGTAAAAGCTTCCGTGAGCTCTTTTTTCCACTGAACAAACTCTGGATCACTCTGAAAGAGACACCCGTGTTGTTAGGGATTTCACAATCGCCCCCAAGGTTAGGAAATATTAACTGCCCCCCCCCCCACTTTCCATATAAGTATTTTAAACAACCTGCTTTATGGAGTTTTTTGGAAAATGAATTGCTCAGGACATTGGTAATATACAGCCTTCCAGCTTTAAGTAGC